GTGGTCATGGAATCCACCTTGGTCTTTATAAGCCAGAGTCCCTAATGAATTATCCACAGATTGTCTAACAGCTTTGCTGCAACTGGTAGGCAGTTTTATAGTTAAAAATCCTCTGAAAATGCCTTGCTTATTCCTCCAAGGCTCTGGGTATGGATGATCTGCATTTCCCCTCCTGCAGCTGGGAGGCTGAGGCTGCGGAAATGCTGTAAGGTGACACCTGAGTCCCTTCTCTAATCCCTCTTCACTGGTACCTTTTAACCTTTCTTGCTTTCTTTATGGAGACTGTCCTGGCATTGTGGATGCCTGACCAGTTGGAAGGGGTTGGAGAAGGGCCCAATTTGTACAGAAGGATTTGTGCCCCCGTGAAATGGGCAAAAAATGGATAAGCACAAGGAACAGTCATGATCTTCTCTGTGCTGTAAGCAGTAAACCGATCTGTGTTCTTGCATGCAGTCTCATGATGCCCCTATTGCTTTAGCAACCAGTGAGCAATGCACCAGTGTTTTCCGCAGCTCCTTCGTCAGCTTTTCTCTTGTTCTGTGAGCTCATCTGCAGTGTGGAGCCGGGCAGGGAGCACGTGCCCTTGAGATGGCTTTTCTCCTCTGGAGAAGGCTCTTGAAAGAGAATTCCCTGGACGTTTTGGGGAGGGAAAAAAGGAGGCAGATTACTCCTCTCTGAAGCTGAGCTGCTTTGGTTTTTGGGAATGATGCTTTAATCAAGGAAAGAGCAAGTTTAAGTAGGGGGAGAGTACCCAGAGTTGTACCTGGTCCATCACCTTGTTCTCAGCTTGTAAGCCAAGCGTACTGTGACAGTGTCAAGACAGAAATATGTTCCTGTATTTCACACAGTTTTCGTTCCTCGCCCGACCCCGCAAAGCACAGTGGAGCGGTTGTCTCCGTTGTTCCTGCTGTAGTTCTGTAGGGGTTTCAGCCCAAGCCTGCCGGTGACGGGAGCATTCCCTTCCTGCCTTCTCCCCAGCTATTCACGAGCACCAGACTGGAGCGCTCATGCATCAGAAGCAGTTGCTTTTCCTTCTTGTTTGTTGCTGGATTGTGTTTAATCCAGCTCAGAGCAGCGTTACCATTCGCTTCGTGATCGCTTTTGGTCAGGGATGGGCGATGAGGAAGGCAAGACGACCTCATCCAGCCACGGTGCTGTTTCAGGCTCGGGCTGTGTCTAGGGCTGTGCCGTCAGTCCGTCCCTCGGCGCGCCATGGTGGTGAGTGTCTGGCTGAGTAATTAAAAAGGGCCTAATTTCTATCACTTCACTGTTAATTGTAGTAATGGTGGGAAGCCTAGATGGACATCTGATTGCTTTCTGTGAATGAACATGGTACGATGCAGCCCTTATTTTGATGGGACTACAGTTGTGTTGTTGGCTCCATGCTCCTGGCTGTTGTAGGGTGGTGTGTCCCCTGCCAGCATGTCACTCATGCGTCACATCCATGCGCTGGGTTTGCATGGGCACGGGATTAGGGTGCTGGCTTAGGGAGAAGTAATGATGACTGGAGCGGTCTGGTGCTTAATGCTGGTGCGTTTATGGTAATGAAACTCCACCACCGTGCTGGACTAAATGTGAAGTAGTTTGGTGTCATTTGATGACTTGGAGAAGCTTTGGGTTCCAGCTTGGTTTTGCATGGGACAAACTAATGAGTCAGACTTGGCCATTCTGGGTGTCCCAGTGGTGTTTTTCCAGCCACTGTGAAGTTTTTCACCACAGCAGTATCTCTTACAACCACTGCTTGTACTTCACCTACCTTAGCAGCGTCACCCATTTGTATTCTCTTTTTTCTAATGCTCTCCTGTGTTTTGTGCTGATTTACTCGGGGGAGGTAAAGCTGCAGTTTTCCTTTGCTCTGGCGTTTTTCTCCTATTCCTTCTTTGTTTATTTGTGTATGATTCTTTCCTCGTAAGTGTGTCGCTGCATTTTACTGGGGGATTTCTGTTTGTAGCAGTGCTGTGTAGGGTTAATGGAAAGATTTTTTACTTTTCTCTGTTTCCTGTCGACGAGGATGGTGCTTAGCATCCCCCTTGTGTCCATAGCTGCAGAGCTCTGTGCACAGCTGGCCTTGCGACACCTGTGTGATGTGGGTCAGGGTTCTTCTATAGGCTAGGGGTACGTGTGGGAACAGGGTTCAAGAGGCACGGTAGGCTGGCTAAAACCCTAAAGCTATCTTTGTAATGGAGTTGGGAATAGAACCTAGAGGTGGAGCTGCAGCAGGATTTTAATGCATAGAAAATATACAAAGCCTTTTAGAGATACTTAAAATCCTAGCAGTCTTGTGTGTGGGTGTCACGGTGACTGGAAAAGAGGATACCTCATTTTTTCCTTTGTGAAGTTTCTTTGTCCTTTTAGTCCTTGGTGTGATATTTACAGAAGTGCTCTTTCTTAAAGCATTTTGTCTTCAACTTGGGCAAACTTGTTGCTTGTGACAGTGGTTGAAAGGAATAATGCGTAACTTTGGTCTTACCTTGAGAACTCTGAACTTAACGTGGTGTTGTAGCAGCTGGTTTCTGAAAGCTTGCAATGGAATATCTTTTTTTAGCTCCCAAAAGCTGTGTTATAAATTTGTGAAGACGGTTTGCTGCCATCCTTGTTTGTTAGTTTTGCTGTTGAGACCTTGTGTACGCTGTGGCTGTTGTATCCATAGCAGTGCTGGCAGAGCTCAGGGGTGTTCTGCTTACCAGTGTATTCCCCTCTGAGCTCCTCAAAGTAAATTTTCCTTGTGCTTTTTGTGACTGGCACTGACTACGTTTCTTGAATGCTCATGAAGGAAGTGCCTCTGGGAAAAAAAAATCTCCTTCCATTGCAGGAGGTGGCTTAGCAGGAAGATAATGAAGAAGTTGCTCCTGGAAAAAAAAAATCTCCTTCCATTGCAGGAGGTGGCTTAGCAGGAAGATGAAGGGAGCCTTTGGTCTGAATGTGGAACTGAAGCTGTGGTTTCCAGTTAGATAAGTGCTGCTGTGTTGCAGGAGTTAGTGTGTATATGTGAGAAATCCTAACAATTTGTTAGGGATCCCAGAAGTAGTTCTTAGTGGAGCAAAGACAGTGTGGCAGATGCCTTGAACACGCTAGTTATGTGTCTCGGTGTCATTCCAGTTGTACGAGAGCGACCTTTTCATCGCAAGGTGCTGGAGAGGCTGCCTGGCCATGCTCTCCTGCACGGGAGCCCTCGCATGCTGGGGCTCTGTGTCCTCTGCGCGCGGAGTGCCAAACTTCTTCCGCAAAAAAGGTCTGCTCTGAGTTAGTGGAATGCAGGTTTACCGAGGTGAGTCGAGCCCCAGGGTGTCTCGTTCACTGGATACCAAATCAGTGTGAGGAGGGAGCTGGCTGACTCTGATGGCAGACCATCAGCTGCTGCGGTTCTGAGACATCCTGTGCAAGCATTGTCTTCACAGTTAAGCAAGTAAAATGCTCCAAAACACAATCCTACTTGACCCACATAAAATGCGAGATCTGTTCCTAAACCGCAACATTCGTCATGCTTTTTTCTACCTTACGCGTAAGGCACCGCAGTGTGTCTCAGGTGGAGAGGCTGTGTCGAGCTAGCTGTGCTCAGAAACTGCAGGCAGATTAGCTTTTTAATTTGTTACTTCTGGGAGGGCTGGGAAAAGGTTGTCTGTCATTTGGAGCACCTACATTTTCTTATGCTGATTCTGTAGGACAGATTCTAGGTAGATTCTGGACCTGTGCTGAAGTAGATTGTTGCATCTGGAGAGAAGGATGTGTTTCTATAATATAAACATCTGGATGCTTGTAAGCTGGGCGCAGCAATAGCTGAGCACTGCCATTGTCATTAAAGCACTGCCATCTGTGCAGAGTAAGAAGGGCCTTTTCTTGAAGCATAGAGGAAAAGCAGCCTTAATGAAAAAAGAGCCATTTATGAGAGCTCTTCCATTTCAGAGTAAATCATACTTGCTCCTAGCTAGAGGGACTGCACATCCTTCCATAATGCCTCCATAACCTGTCAGGTGATTAGTGACTGTTTCTGTAATGACTCATTGTAAAACAAATTTTATGCTGTCTATGCACTGCACCTAGGGAAGCGAATGTACATTTGGCTCAGTGCTTTCAGAATGTGCGTGAAAAACCCCTGCTCTGAAGCTTCAAGGGAAATGGCTTGGGTGGAGCCTTTTATTTTAGTTCTCTCCTGATACTTACTTCTCTGAAATTGCCTTTAGAGTGTTTCCCCAAAGCCTTTCTAGGAAGAGTCCACATTCCTGGTGCACTCATACATCTGAACCGATGCGGTTTGACTGCAGTTAATCTTGTTAATTCTGTCCTCCAGAATGCCAGTAACCTTGCACACGCTTCGTCTTCTGAAATTTGCACTGCAGTGCATCACCTTAAAGATGAATGAAACAAATCTGAGGTCAAGCTTTCAGAGATGAAGTTCGCTTTAGGTGGTCCCAGGGTTTATCTCTTCCAGACACCCCTATTTCTGCATTTAGAACTGTCTATGTTTAATTAAGTTCAGCATCAAAGCATATAGTCTCTAGCACTCGCAGTAAAGGTTTTGTGTGATTCTCGGCTTGGGATGTGGGAGTGAGAGAGGGGAGGGAAGGCAAACTTTGCCCAAGAGGAGACCCTCTGGCTCTGCAGGGCTTTGGTAGGAGGAAGCCTCATCCTTCTCTGAGCAGGTCAGTGGTGCTTGTGGCACCGGACATCACCCTGGAAGGTGGAGAAAACAGGAAGAATTAATCAGAACTGAGCAATGTTGGAAACAGCTGACTGTTACTGCTCCCTGTCTTTTCTCAGGAAAACAAGTTAAAATGCAAATGTCTTCACTGTTATGATTTATTCTAGGGTGGGGTTTTTTTCTGCTTCTACTGTTGGCAGTGGCCGTCAGTAGTACAGGGAAGGAGTGAGCTAGCAAGTATTTTCTATGTCTTGTGCTCTTTTATACTTGTGAATTAAAAACTGCACAGACCAGCTGTTCTTTGGGAAGCACTCATTTAGAGTTTTTTGTTCCCTTGTGTTTTTTTTTCCTAGGAAACTACTTTGCAAGTCACTTCTTTATGGGAGGCGAGAAGTTTGACACCCCTCACCCTGAGGGCTACCTTTTTGGAGAGAACATGGATCTAAACTTCCTCGGCAACAGACCTGTTCAGGCAAGTTCCTATATGCTGTCTGTTTTACCCTTTTGTTTCTGCCTTGTTTTGGAAAACCTTGTGTAGGGCTTGTACTACAAGATAGCACAGAGCTAAGGGACCCTCGCTACCTGGGGAGTGTCATTCCAGTCTGCAGCGCAAGAGCCCTTGCCGGGCTGTTCAGACGCAAGCAGAGTTTTTCTAAGAAGCAGTATACACCTTCTAGACTTATTTTCACTTGGGGCAAAAGGAAGAAATAGCGAGGGAAGAAGGGAAGGGGCTGAGGAACACGTTTTGGGGACTAATTCTGATGGCCTGCTTGCATGAGATTTGCCTGCCTGAGTGAATGTAAAACATGCTGCAGAGAAGAGAAGGCTGGGAAGCAGATCCACTCTCGGAGCGCGAACTTCACAGGGCTGCTGGGCACATTGGATGGATCCCAGACACTGTTCAACACGTGCTGTTCTCATCTAAACAAGTGGCCTGAACAGGCGTAGAGCAGCGTTAGGACAGATCTTGGTATTTGGTGATTTTGTTTGCTTTGTAACCTAGGTGGGCTGCTCAGAAAGTCTCTTCTCTACTTTCCCCAGTTGGAGCGTGGAGGTATTTCTAGGCCTATGGATGTCTTGAGAGACTGCGAAAAGCTGCCTGCTCCGGTGATCAGCTTGTTCTTTTATTGTGAACAGGGAATAACGCTGTTGTGAGGGACAGATAGGAATTTTATGCAAATGTTATGTTTTGGATTTCTCTTGCATCTCAGAACTGCTTAAAAGGAGCCAAAAGGTAGCAGAGTAGGAGCCATTTGGAGATGTTTTAGTAGTGCTGGAGAGGAAAGGGAAAAGAGCTGCTGCTTTGCCAGCTGTTTTCCTATTTGTTTCTGCAGCTTCAAAACAAGAAGAAGAAAAATTGGTCCTGGTTCTCAGGTTCAGAAAAGTTGTGCCTATTAGTTAATTCGTGCTTGTAGTGCTGGGAGGCAGTTCATTACTACCCTTGTTTTACAGATGAGGGAAACTGAAGCAGAATGACTTGGTGTTTGAATTTGAACTGGTGGCAGGCGCGTTCTGCTTGCTGAGTCGTCCTCGGGCTGTGCCATTGGTCTTCTCAGCACCACCATGAGTTAACAGGACTCTGGAAGGGAGGACAAGTGTGAATCTGGAGAGCCCCTGCTCGGGCAGAAAGTGCGGATGAGCAACAGGGTTAGGAAGGAGGGACTTTACATGGAGATCGTTGTAGTGGTGCTGTGCAGGCATGAGGATGCTCACCACGTACCCTACGCCATGTCTGCGTATCAGGCCCGTGTGGGATGGCGGTTAAAAGCTGCACCTTTTCGCTTTGTTCTGCGACTAGCAGCTGCTCAGTGCTCCAGGGAAAGCAGAAGACGCAGCTGTTAGCTGAATATCCCATGTGCCTGTGGCTGTAGGGACTAGCCTTGGAGAGTTGAATTGTCTGCGTGTCTCAGCCTGGGCTTCCTTGCAGACATCCCGGGACTGAATTTCATTTCTTCAGAGGGGAGTGGGTGAGAATGCTATTAACACAGTGGAACGTTTGCCAAATAGGTTTAAGACAAGGAGGCTGTATATAGTTCGCCTATGTAAAGTTAATGCCCTTTGGCAGGTCTGATTAATCTTCAAGTATAAAAACCACTTGAACATGGAGCAGCAAAACTGCTTGCTGGACATGGTCCAGGTTCTCGCTTTGGAGTAACTGAGGTCTTGCCCGCTCTGTGTAGAGCAGCGCTACCAACCACAGTACCAAGCACTCGGGGTGCAAGGAAAGCGGTTGCTGCTGCCGTGTGAATTCTCTGCTGCTCGTTGCTGTGGCACGGGGTCTTCTGTGGGGTTCTCCTGTCGGTCAGGAAACGGCACGTCTTCCCTCAGGCTCTGGTTCTTGCACCACCAGTACCTTTCTGTGGTCTGAGGGGACAACGCTGAAGGATTGTGTCCTGGAGCTGCCCTGAAGTTCAGCTGCAGCAGCATTTTCCTGCCTGTTCAGCAGATTCCTCGTTTAAAGGAAGCATGTATATTGGTGGTCACTGGTACTTCTGCTCTGTGTCAGTCACTGCCACACCACTGCAGGGCACCTAGTCAGAAGTGTGTTTGAAGGACCCCAACTCTAATGAGTGCATGGTGGCACTGGGTGGTACCTTCAGAGCAACCTTCCACCTGCAAGCCTGTCCTGTAGCGCTCTACCTTTGTGTCGAGCTGTTGCTCTGACCTGGAGCCCGGCTGTGTTTCCAGTCTGAGCACCCACCAAACTTGGCTGTTGTGTGGGTGTATGTTTCAGCTTCAGGCTTCTCTGAGCAAATGGGAGATCCGGCAGGCACATCTGCAGCTGAATGGGTTGAGGTCACCACAGTAAGCAGTTTCCTTTGCATTTCTCACTGGAGATTCTGTGACCAGTATGGAGAATTACAGTCTGAAGCATTACTGTCCTTTATTTAAAGGACAATCTGTGAGAGAAGGCCTCTTGACTGTAGAATAGAATGAGGCCCGCTATCCCGGTCTCCTTTTCTTTTCCAAAACATTTGCCCCATTGTTTCAGAATAAAAAGAGTTTCCCGCAGTAATCCAGGGCTTCACCATGCTGATTAGTAGTCAAGTCACTGTTTGCATGCTGTAACACATATGAAAGAGCTGCATTTCTTCTGCTCAGGCTGGAGGTGGTTTCTTTAGTGGAAATAAAAGCTTGTGAGGGCAAGGCTTTCTAGACTGAGAATCTGGGGTACAGAAAAAGAGTTTGTGGAAATGCCCCTTTGGAGTACATACTCGCAATATGAGCTATTGCTGGGCCAGAGCAGGATTTTCACTCTGAAACATGCTCGATTTGTCTGTAAATAGAATTCTTTATTACTGTTCCTTGTGGCGGTTGTACTGAGCACCCTTAAAGGCAGATGTTTCTTGGTTAGGGTAAATTGTATATGAGGTAACAATCTGCTACCTTTTATAGTATAATAATAAGAGAATTATATACCTTTTTGTTCCAGTTTCCGTATGTAACTCCAGCTCCACATGAGCCCGTGAAGACACTGAGAAGTCTGGTGAATATCCGCAAAGACTCTCTCCGTCTTGTCAGGTACTGTTATTGCCTGAACTCTTCCTTTTATTCAACCCACTGATCTGGCATCCAGAGCCAAACTGTATTTGATATGGTTTTGGAGAAACAGCTGAATTCCACATCCTTGTTGCTAGAGAGGTCCAAAAGTTTCTGTGTTCCCTTGTGATCAGAGCTTTCAGGTGGTTTATACACTGCTTATCCCTAGACTTGAGCAATCTGTTTCCAAATGACCAACGATGTGTCTGTCTCTACAGGACACACTAGAGTGGTAAACAAAACCATGAAATCATTAGCATGAATGGAAGATATTAGTCAGGTCAATAAACCCTACAGACAGATTCCTTTCTGCATTCTTGTGCAAGGACAAGCCAGAAAGTAGCTGATTCTGGTGCAAGTCACAGGCCAGGAAGACTGATTGGTCTTGAGTGAAACTTCCTCAGGTTTCTCCTGCTGCCAAAATAAAGTTTGTTCCTTGTGTTATGCATTCGTTTAGATGGCTTGTGTCCCACGCATAGGGGAAGGAGGTCTGGGTGATCATGGAGATCTGTTACCTTTCACTGCTCTGCACCGAGATCTCAAACAGCGCTAGCTGGATTAAACGCAACGGCTAACACTTTGACCTGCGGCCGCCCTCTTTCAAACAGATGGCCAAAGTACAGGCCCCAGTGTACAGTGCTTTGTTTTGGTCTGAGCGACTGGGCAGATGTCCAGGCAGAGCATTCCTCAAAGATCCTTGAGTCGCTCTGAATTCTGCATTTCAGGCACAGTGCTGGAGTACTGGCAGGGGCCCAGCTCCAACTCTTGGCCGAGGTGATTCTGAGAGCATGGTGTAACGTGAGTAATTTGAGTCATAACCTCACAAAACCCTTTGTTTGTTCTATGTGAAAACAGAAGGTTGGTTTTTTTTTGTTTTTTTTGTTTTTTTTTTTTTAAGTGAGCAATACCTGTGGTTTCGAAACTGATTGAACAGGAGAAGAGGGAAGAACTGGAAAAGTAACCATTGGCAAACTGCTCAGAATGCTGTCTGGCTTTTTCAGCTAAAGGGTGAAGTACTTCTCAAGGGAAGTCTTGCTTTCCTCGCACACTTGCTGTGGAAAGAGGGTTTTGTTCTCCTTGCAGGCATCCACGAAATGGCTTTTCTGCTGGGGGAGGCCTTGCTGTGAATGGAGGAGTTGCTGGGGTTTAGTACACACAGTTCTGTCGTTCTGCTTTCCGTGGTTGCATGTCCTGATCCCCCAAGCAGAGCTGCAGCTCTGTGCTATTGGAAATGCAGTGTCCATGCACCTTGGCAGTGTCTAGGGTTGCATCCGTCTAATTCCTGGTACTATCGGTTCTTTCTCTGTCTCGTGGCTCTCGCAGACTCTGGTCCTGCTGCTGTGTTAGTGCGGACGACAACACTTCCAACGTAGCTCCATTTAATTTTGTACTGATGTAGACCCAAAATGAGATTTTAATTGCCAGTGTCCAAGGGCACGTTCTTTCTTGTGCTTTTCTACTGTTCTGGACTAGAGGCTTTTCCTTTCTCCCTCTGTGCACGTAAAGACACTTTGTGCCCTCTGTGGCTTGGCTTATTCGCAACCAGTGGTTGAGGCTTGCACATTCTTTCCAGAACTAGTTAAGTTTAATTTACTGCCTCCTACACCAAATAAAATGATATTGAGCCAAGTGTCTAGGTGTAAAGTAGGTTCTGATGGTAAAGTCCTCACAAGCTTTTTGTCTTTTCTTGTGTTTAATTGAAAATTCATTGTTCACCTGTGAAGTGGGTGTTGATCCATAATTTGGAGTGTAGGGCTTTATGGAGGAAAATGAGGAAGTGTCCAGTCTGGGCTTCCTGCCTGGCTCTGACTAGATAAAATTCTGAGCTTTTCCAAATCTTGAAAATTTACAGCAGCTTTTGGAGAGAAGCAATAAGCCTGTGAATGTTGGTGTTGAAGTTTTGAGTCTTCGACGCCTTGTGTGAGTGCTTGATTTCTAGCAGGATAAGACTGTGAACCTCAGAGGAGGGTAGCATGAGTTTTGCTGTTAACCACCAACAGAAAAAGGCTGCCTCATGTCTGTCTTGTGTCCGTCTTTTGGCCCTGGACTGGAAGCTTTATTTCAGAGCTGAAGTACTTGTTGGGCTGATACTGGCGGTTTACTCTTGCTTTGAAAGCACTTCCAGTTGCAGGAGGAAGATCAACTCACAAGGCACTGGGTTTCATGGAATAGTTGTGTCCTTGGGTCATGGAACAGAAGTGCTGACGGAATCAGCAACTCTAGTGGTTTGGGAATGTGTCTGACACAGCGGCAATATCATGGAGAACAGTGAGACCGCTGAGCATGTTGGATAAGGGCCTGAGAGGGAGACAGATGATAGGGACCGAGGGGAAACAGGTGACCTGCTGTGAGTGAGAGAAGGGAAGTACCTTCGCTTCCCTCTCCAGCATGGTGGGGCTGACGTTGATCCTTGGAGCGGCTCATCCCGTGGTGGAGGTGGTGATGGTGGGGATGCTGGGACTGCCAGCTCTGCAGCCCTGGCTATCGTGAAAATGAGACAGTGTACAGGTCTCTGCAGAACCCCCGTACAGGAAAGCCTCCACTTGGTGATGGTCTCCCCCTGTGAAAGTCAGTGCTGATAGAGGTGTCAGCTAGTTCTTCATTTAGTGCCGCTCTAACACTGTTGTAATGCCTATCTCACAACGCTAAGTCAAACAATACTTAGCATTTATCCTGCATGTCTACCAAGTTGTTGGTCAAACTTTTTAATCTCATCAAAGGATGAAATTGGGTTTGGCTCGACCTGTTTCTATAAAACTGTCATTGCTGCTGTTAATTATCTTTTTATCTTTTAATCCTTTAACAGACAAACAAAAAGTTCCAGCATTTCCATTGTTTTATCCAGAAGCGATGTCAGACCAAGTGGCCTCAGCTCCCTTGGTCATCCAGCTTTGCCTTTTTCATCATAACATTGGATCAGCTATGTGTTCTCAGAGGTGGTCAGTCTCTTCTGCTCTATACACGTGATTGTGAAGGCTCTGTGATTAACTTGTCTGCGTGACCGAAAGGCACACCTGGCGAAGTCACTGGTTTCCCAATTTATGCATGCATCTGTGGCCACCTCACATCAACACTGTCTGTAGGGCTTGAGTAAATGTACACTGTAAACTTCAAGTGCAGGTGGAGGCAGAAGAGCTCTTGAACCACCTGAACCACCTCCTTGTCTGTCAAGTCTGTCGCAAACATGGAAGGAATGCAAAATATGTGACTTTGTCTTTACTCCCCTGAAGTTACATCCCACCGTTCCTGCACTTTAAGATGGAATATGAGATGTCTCTGCACCAAAGTGTACGCACCAAAGTAGTTCTTGTTTGTTCCTTGGCCCAGCTACCAGCTGGCATAGCTGCTTATGCAGTCGTTCCTCACCTGTATTCTTTGCGATGTGGTGGGCAATTTTCTTAACCTCTGGCACCAGGCATGTTGCAACAGTAAGATGTGTACGGAGCCTTGATGTGGCTGTCACCATTCAGGCACGTGTACTTTGCCCCCTGTTTGAGTGATGCTGCTGCATGGAGACAGGGCTCTGGCTCTACTTCTTCCCAGCAGACGCAGCCTCCAGAAACCTTCTCTCCAGGCACAGCAGTTGGTAGTGGCCCTTCAGTGGTTTCCCAGGGTGACAGATCTATCCAAGTCTAGGCTTAACCACTGTTGTCCTTGAAAGGATGGAAGCACGTTCTGAGTGCTGGCAGGGTGATGCAGAGGTGAAGTTGAGAGCGGGAGGGTGAGCTGGGAACCAGTATACTTTGTGTGACTTCACTGAGAACACAAAAGAGGCAACAGTTTTACTATTAACATGTTGCTTTTCTGTGATCAGCTCTTCCCCAGGTCTCCCACCTTGTTACTTGGGTCTGTTATGGGTATCTAGACCTGTGGTCTTGTTGATCTGTAACTCATGCATGTGCCGGGCATCTCTATTTTAATACCTACCTATGTGTGCAGAGAGTGTAGCTCTGTGGAGTAGCCTTCACCGATGCCTGCCTGGAAGGGGTGCTGGTTCTCCCCCCCCCCACTTCTTCAGGAAGAAATGGCAAGTTTTTGTTAGCCTGGAGATCATGCTCCTCTTGTCCTTCGCTGCTGACCTCGGATCCATGGAGGGCAGTGCAGCCAGAGATAAGTTGCAGAAGCTTGTGCTGCTGCTTTCTCTGGACACCTAACACGTGTGGGTGGATTTTTGCCTTCTGTCTGCTTGGGTCAGTCCAGCACAAATTGTGGAACCTACCCCCATGTGTTCTAGGCAAACGTGCCCTGCTAGCTAGAGTGTTTCTTGTTTACAGCCTTCAAGTGCTGTGATTTTATTCTTTGAATACAACTAGCTTGTATGAAAATACCATCTTTCTCACTACTCTGTTTGTATCCAGGCTGCTGCAGATGTTCAGACTCTCATTTCTTGGGATGTGCCTTTTTTATAATAGCATGTTGGGTGCATTTGATTTTTAGAACCTGAACCTCAGGCAAAAGTCTTGTTTGGAGCTCTCCAAGTCCTTTGGAGAGGAATGCAAGTGTATGCTATAGTGATTCACTAGGGTTACATTAGTATGAGTATGTGTGTTAGGTATTTGATTATACTGCTCTTAAGTTTTATTTTGCACCTTCTGTATTAAATTGCTGAAGCTGAACATTTCATTCTTGTTCAGTGTGGTGTTAAGTAAAATTCATGCTGAAACCCTTTTAATTAGGCAGCAGTTATTACATCTCAGTGAACTCGGTAAATAAGGATTCCCTTGACAATTTTTAGACTGAATTATGGAGGTATGCCCAGCCCATTTCTGAGTATTTTCAACAGTGCAGTGTATTCATCGAGAGTGTTTAATGAGGGGAGAGGCTGACTGATACTGTGAAGTCAAAGATGGTGCCAAGCTTTTCCAGAGTAGTTTAACTGCTTGGCTTTGACCCAGGTATTGTGGCAATTAAGGTAATACTGATAGAGAAGTGAGGCTGGAGCTGGGCCACAGATCAAGTAGTGGTGTACACCTCTCAAAGGCAACCTGCTGCGCTCTCCGTTCATATGCAGTGCGTGAACTAACGGTGGTACCTCCAGTTGTAGGATTATAGTGGGACTTGATTTTACGTGTGAGAATCAGCTTCTGCCCTGTCAGTGAGTCATGTCCATTCTGTCTGTCACTTTGCTCTTCAAGGCAAGGGAGATCTTCTCATGGCATACTGTGTTGGCTGCTTGTTCCAGGATCTGCTGGTCTCCCTGGCCACTCCTGGCACACCATAACTCACTGCTCACCCATGGCCATATCTTGCTGTCCTGGAGCTTGCTTCATACCACCTGCTTCACCGGAATTGTTACATGCATTTTCCAGCAGTAGGGACAAGGAGTAATAGTGGGCAGTGGTGATCACACAGTGGGATCCAGCTGTACAGTAGCCTATAGCCAAGCAGTGACTCCCCTTTATGTTAATTGAAGTAACTTCTAAACTTATTGTTATAGTGGTTATCGTATCGGTTATTATGGAGTTGAATGTGTTGATTTTTGTTCATACAATATGTGCAAGGTTCAGTCATTAGCAGCATCAAAGGTTTAGCTGATGATTTGTACATTTAAAGGTATTTGAAGTTCCTATATTTGAATGCTTTCTGATCTGAATATCATCTGTGTCATACTGGAGATACCTTTTGTTTTACCTTGGGAGTTCTTTGTATATGTTATAGAAACCTTGGGTTTTGCCTGTTGTGCTCCATTTCGTTTGCAGAGTTGAAAGAATAAGGCTTTAGACTTCTCAGGCCCGTGCAAGATTGCTTTAGCCCAAATACTGAGCCTAATGTGAAGATTTAAAAGACAGGAGAATGTTTCTTCCTCTAAGGGTTTGACATTCAAGGGTTTACTTTCTGCACTCATTCTGTGTCCTGGCACTGTAAGGCTGACTGAGATCTGTCAGCACTGTCGTTGTGTTCAAAAACTGCCATAACTTCAGTCAAATCTTGGAAGAACCTTCCTCAAAGGAAAGAATGGAAATATCCTGGGAAGTCCAAGGTGGAAACCCATGGTGCCATGCCTGCCCAGAACACCTAGATTGGAGTACTCTTGTCCTGATTTCCAGAGTGATCTTGATGATGTCTCATAAATATATATTCTAATCTTCTGGCGTTGTCTTTCAGATATAAAGATGATGTTGACAGTCCTACTGAGGAGAATGGGAAGCAGAAAGTCCTGTACAGCCTGGAGTTCACGTTTGATGCAGATGCCCGTGTTGCCATCACAATCTACTGCCAGGCTACAGAAGAGTTTGTCGGTGGCATGGCAGTGTAAGTCCTGGGCTTGTGGGCGTGTGGAGGGGCACAGGAGCTCTCAGGTGATGAGCCTGTCAAACATTGCAAACATCTCTCACTAATCACTGCTGAGGGCAGTGCTGCCACGAGTGCTGGAGAGGGAAATCTCTTCTTTTTCTGTTTTGTTTTATATATTCTGATAGCCTTGAACATTACTTTCACTTACCTCCCCCACATAACCAATATCCTCTCTTGTTCCCTTTTTGGTTTGTTTTTTGCGTGTGGGGAAACCATTCTGTGTGCAACAAAGGAGAGGAACTCACAGCTGTATGCTTTGTCAGCAAGATGTTATATGAAATTAAAAAAAAAATGACTGCCCTTCCCTTCAAATACTACCTGTCTTTTTTCCAGATCACCTACCTCACTGGATTTCTGTGTTGCCTGTGATGGGAGCATCTGGGTGACCAACGTAAAGTTCAGTCTGACGTTTGCATAGCGTGTCTGTGTAACTGAGACCCAAAACCCCTCTTGGGATAAATGACCACCTCAACACAGGCTGTGGTGAGATGGCTGTCGGGAGGGTTTCCTGCCTGAAACCCTGTCTGTGTGTTTCCTGCCAGGTACCCATATTAGCCTTTGGCTAGCTGTAGAAAGAATGGTCAAAATGTCATCCGTGCAGTCTTTCTCGTATCCTGGTGGTGCATCCCTACAGATTTCAAACCTTTTTTATCGAAATCGTCACATTTAAGGTATTCCAATCAACACTGTATCACTTAAGACTACAAAAATTTCCTCTCTGTATTAAGAGCTAACGTGGCTGAAACATGCTCTCCCTGGTGTGAAATGGGTATGTGTGAGCTGCTGGTACATTATGGCAGGCTTCCGATGGCCATGGGACAAACAATTCTTTTTGTTCTATGGGTAAAGGAAGATTCGGGCTGCAGAAGCTCTTGGCTTCCTCTGGTAGAGGCTTTTGGCTGAGCAGTGGCTCTGTGCACATAGTGCTGACGGCTTCTGCAGTGGTGCTCTGGATTTGGGGGGGTAAATTTTGTGTTTTATTGAAGGGATCTGCAGAGGTTTCAGCAGGGAGAAAGATGTATGACAAACCATAAAATGGCTTACATGTGTCATGCAAAGTATAAACATGCCACTAATGATCAATTAATAGTGTATTTTTAGAAATGAGACAAGCTCAGTGCTCCCATCCAGATGTGTATTCCTCCAAACCGAAGGATATCCTGATCCAGAATTTTTGTTTAGGCCCCTTCTTTGCTTCTGTTGAAGCCTACGGCTGCCTTTATTTTGGGTAGGTAATAAATTAGCTCCTTTTGTGTGCTTGAAAAATATCTCTCAACAAACTCTGAAAAGGCTTTCTATTTAGATCCAGTTTTTCCTGAGCAGAACTGAATGCAGCAGGATGCCTTAGAAGTCCTGATAAAGTTTCCATATTCTGTCTCTTAGGTCCTTAGGTTTCCTGCAAATTCAGTGCTAGTGAAGGTGTTGGAATGGCAGCCTTGGAGATTGAAGTCCTCTTCCCCTAACACAGGTACAGCGTGGAGAGGTGGCCAGTGTCCCTTGTGCTGCACTGCAGGGTTCCTTGTTTTTTGACCTGAGAAGGAAACCATCTGTGGGCTGACAGGGAGAGCTGAGGACCTCTATGGCCAGGGTGGATGTGTTTACAATGCCAGACTTCAGCCATGGCTTAAATCAGCAAGTCCTGTTTTGTCCTGTTTTAAGTCTTGATTTTAATCGTGTTTTGAATATTCACTTGTTGGTTTACCTCGAAGAATTTGTTTGTCACTGGTCAGTAACAATGAAACATGGGTGTTTGCAACTCAGGGTAAGCTTCCTACCAAACTTTGTGCTACACTGTACTGAAGAGCTTCAGACTGTAAAGAATATGCATATACTTTAAAATGTATTTTTTCAGACTTCTAGTTATGCATTTTGTGATGTTAAAATGGCAAAAAAAAGTTATTCTAAAAAGAAAATATACTTTTTTTTAACATCTCGAGCCAAGCTGTGTTGGGGTGGAAGTGCAACGGAATCACCCCGAGACCAGCAGTGTAGCATTCTGCTTTGTCCAGCTGCTCGGTGTTGGACTCTGAAGGGACTGTCTTGCCAAGTTTTGCCTTGAATAATAATTGCCTAATGGAAGTATTATAGTTACTGAATATAACTAACTGTTTTTGGACAGAGGGTGTTTTCAGCCTTCTGTAACTATTAGCTCTCCTCTCAGAAATCTGTTGGTTGATTGGAGGAGGAAAACACATTTTCTGATTCGCTGAAAAGAACATGGTTTACTGAAATTTAGTGCCATGCGCTAAGCCAGTGACTGTCACAGGGTTCTGTCATCTGTTCTTTAAAGTTTATGCAGCAAACAGGAACTACCTAATTGATTTTTAAATCTAATTTGTACAATTCCTAGGTAAAGTTTCTGAAAGTTAACACAAATATCAACTTCAAAGGAAAATATTTTTTAAAATTTGAATTTTTTAATCCACCCTGTCCATGGTTCACCGAGAGACAGATCTCTGTTCAGGTGGTGGAGGAGAAGCCTTTGTTCATGAACTCTACCTTCCTCTGCACAAAACCGGGATCAGTAGTCAGCAGTCATTACCTCGCTAACGAAATGTAGCTGATGATACTGTGCTGCCCTGTGAGGGTGGCAGCGGTCCCCAGCACACTAAACCTTTACATCAAAAGTCAAAGCACTGTGATTCAGCTCCTGCTTCCACTGCTGGTCTTTTATTTAGTAAATCATGCTTTAATTTCCCTGTAGTATAGGCGTGATGAACTGTCTGTCTCTGCTCTGGACTTTTTAAACAATAAATGTTATAGAAGTGTGGGGTCGGAGGGGGCTGCACCAGAAGCCAGGGAACCTTTGTGAAGGCATGATCCTGATTTCATGCAGATGTGTAGGTAATAAGGGCTAGGGGAAGTGAGATACAAATATAGACTTTATAAACTGCTTTAATTCAACCCAGGCTGTTTTTCCACGTGGAATTGGCTCATGAAGCACGTCTTGGGGCCAGTGCAGCTGCCTGAAGTAGGCATCTCTGCTTCTCTGGATTTGCTGGCTGCTAGTAAAAACCTTTTGAAGCTCTGATTTCAGCTTTGCAAAGCAATTCTGCAAGGGCAGTGCTATAATTACTTTGATTTATTCTTTTCAAATTCTAGTGGAAAAAAAAAAACAAACCTGGGCTGCATTCTTAGAGCTCTAAGTGGAGTGAATGCATTTTTAGTGCACTAACAGGAATGCAGCTTCCCCCTGCCTGGGCTGGTAGTTTTTGCTTTTTCTCAGTTTCTTTTGGTGCTAACAGCTACATTCAAGTAACAAGCATGTGCAAAAGCTGCACCGTTGTATGAATTCAAAATTTTTTCTGTTGCTGTGTCCAGCACTTGATGGGAAGGAAGATGCTGTTTAAAGCAAAACACTTTTTTTTTTTTTTTTTTTTTCCACTCTCTTAAATTGATGCTAAATGCTAAAATGGGAGAAACTTTCTGGACCCTTGTCAAAACCAGAAATTTTCTCCTAGTCCCAAGCCTGCAGCATGGCTCCTCAGAAGCGCTAAACAAGTTATTCTTGCTTCTCTGCTGAAACAACCACTGATCCTGATAGTATCAGTGCCCCTGCTCATGTGAAACTCCTGCTAGGAACGTTGTTATGTTGGTACGGTTTGGGGTGAGAGGAGGGAGGGGAGGGAAGGTGGCTCTCCCAGAGCAGAGGCGCTGTTTGTTGTAGAGCCTCTGCCCATGTGAGAGCCACAACGCTCCGTGTGCCATGGGCCTGCCTTCAGGATTAGCTGGTCTCCGTGACCAAAGGGAAGCCTTTCTCTCTGCAAGCCAGGAAGCTTCCTCCTGAGGTTGTTTGGGCTCCGTTTAAAAGCTGGTGGCTTCGACCATATGTGCTGCCTGTCCTAACTTGTCTCAAAGGAGTGTTCAACAGACTTTCTCAGGTAATTGTGCTGGGAAATATGCTCAGCTATACCATTTCCCAGCCAGGATCTTGGAAACACGTTGCTCCCAACCGCTGCCTGCCCGTTGTCCTGAACTGTTGAACTCTGTGTTTCATGGAGAGCTGTATTGTCACCGCTGTGGGACTGCAGTTGACCAGTCAAGTCTGGAGAAGACGAATGGGAGGCTGTTGGTTATTGTAGAATTGTCTTCACCTCTACAGCCCTATGTCCAGGGGATGGTACCCAGCGCTTTCTGGTGCTAGTGCCGATATCCGGAGAAGCCTCTTGGATGAAAAGGGAATTAGTTTAAATCTAGAGGGAACTGCAGCACCCACCTTCTGAATATCTTTTGCCTCATTACTTTGTGGTGAGCCTAAAGACTCTTTAAGCTAAAACACGTTAGCTCTCAGAGGACGAGCTGGGGAGTTACCCCAAGGAAACAGAGATAAGATCTGCCTATGTCCAGAATCTCTTCAATGGCATGGAGTTAGCAGTGACCTGCCTCTGAACAGCTCGAGATCCCTGATATCCTCAGTTTTGTTTGTTTTTCTGATTATGTCCATTATCTTTGGTTTTGCAAATTGGCAAACTGTTCCACTGTGCTTCTGTTTCCTGTGGCAGCCCCCCCAGTGAGCTTTAGCACAGCGTCTTCCCCGAGGATCCACTCTCATCTTTGGTTAATGGTGGGTGTGCTCTTGGGGAGTTGGTCCATAATCTGGCTGGCTTGGAGAGAGTGATATTTCTCAGTTTGTCCTTTCCTTTGGCTTCAGTTTCCCGGCAGCTGAGTAGAAAGCAGGGAATACTCTGGTTGGGGAAACCATCGTAACAGGTTGACTGCTCACCCGTGAGGTGTTGTATTGCTCAGTGTCACGGAGGCACAGCAGTACCTGTCAGCTTCAGAAATGTCCTACAAATGTCAGAATCCGTGATGCTTACTGGGTTTTAAGACTAGCCAGCCGGAGAGGCAGCTCCATGCTCCTGTGGTAGAGGCGATGGGCACATGCAGCAAGGAAGGGTTCATCCGTTTCAGCCGAAAGGCAAAGGGTGGCCAGGATGGGCCCTATCGAAATGGCGTGA